GGCGCTGGGGGCACTCACTGGAGCTGGTTGATGATAACCATGCGGACGTGCTCTCGGGCCTTCAGGATCTTCTCCAGCCGGTGGATGTCGTATGTGTTGGGGTTCCGGAAAGGGATGTCGTCGGGCAGGCCTGTGACCTCGACGGCATCCGGGCTGTCCCGGATCAGTTTGTAAGGGACCAGCACAGGCCGGTTCAGGCCCAGAGCCTCACCTAGAAGACACGGCGGGTCAGCGCAAGGGCCCCTGTTAGGGGCCAAGCCCTCTGGGGAAAGCGCTGGATGCTGGCATGGCCCAGCTCAGCCAGCCACTGTCCTAGGGAGTTTATAAATCTATACACACGCTTTTTTTTTTTTTTTTTTTTTTTTTTTTAAATCCACTTAGCAAAACTAAAAGTTTAATACCCAGCGGTGACAATAAAATGTACTTTCGGGGCACCTGGATGGCTCAATTGGTTGAGCGGCCGACTCTTGATTTCCGCCCAGGTCATGATCTCACGGTTCGTGAGTTCGAGCCCGGCGTTGGGCTCTGCGCTGACAGCTCGGAGCCTGCTTGGGATCCTCTCTCTTTCCCTCTCCCTGCCCCTCCCCGGCTCATGCTCTCGCTCTCTCTTGCAAAATAAATAAATAGAAAAGAACCCTACTATTATGTTAGAAGAAATACAAAGCCCTCGCTTAAATATTTATGGATATGACATGGTGTCTTGAGTTTGTTTTTAAGTACTTCAAATACAGAAGTGTGTACAGAAGAAGATTGGTAAAATGTTGGCAATCGTAGAAGCTGCCTTCGGGTGACGTGGTGGGTCACTCCCCCACCCCCATACGTGTTTGGATTCTGATTGCAAAATAACAAGTGAATAGAGATCCACCAGCCGAGTCGCTTCTCATCGTTCTGGAAATGAAGCCCCCGTGCCTTCTTACGCCTGCCCACCGTCCCCCCCAGCTGCTCACCCGGTCACCCAGCTGTCCCCTCCGCCTGGCAAGCTTTTCCTGGAATATGCGTCCCCTCCTGACATTCGAGTCTTGGGGGGGAGGGCTTCCCTGCCTGCCCCCCACCGCGTCCTGCCACTGCAGTTTTATGTTTTCCTTCATCACTCTCTGAAATTCTACTTAAAAACATTGTTTTGATTCCTGTCTCCCTGTGCAAAGTGAAGATAATACTGAATTCGTCACAAAGACAACGTCACGCATAGCGTGGCACTTAGCGATCGAGAGGCTCACTTATAATCGTAGAGTTATTATTACTAAAACTCTATTTGACTTGATTTTTAAGATTTTATTTCTAAGTACTCCCTACACCCAACGTGGGGCTTGAACCTACAACCCCAAGATCAAGAGTCGCAGGCGGCACCGGCTGAGCCAGCCAGGCCACAGGTGACCGTATTGTTAATTGTCCCATCTTGGGCTCCGCCCTGGCACCCCGGATGCCGTCAGCACAGGGCCTAGCATCTCGTGGCCTTTACCTATTCCGCGTCCACCTCCCTGCACAGATTCTGAGCCCCAGACTGTCAGGGATGGGACCTCCTTCCCTGGAGTCCTCACGGCTAAATGTGTGCTGGGCAGATGCACGAACCGCGTCTCTGCCGCACAGCCCGGCCCTAAAGGAGCAGAAATGCTGACCGCGGTCACGGCCCTGTTCTTTCCCTTTCCTCAGTCGGGGGAGTGGAGGGGTCGGCTCCCGGCAGTCGTGGGCAGGGCGGCTCTGTCCCCAGGGAGCAGGCAGGCCAGCTGGGTGTCACTGGGGGCCAGGCTGGCCGTAGAGGGAGGAGGGGCTGCCAGGGAAGGCGGGCCCCACAGACCCTGCCCCGCGGGCCCCGCTCCTGACGCACTGACCGTATTTCTCATTGAAGAGCTCCTTCACCTGCTCGCGGAGGATCACCTTCTCCCCTAGTCTGTTGGCGTCATCTTCATCTACAAGAGGAAGACGTTGGGGTGTGAAGGTCGGCAAGGGCGCGCCCCTGGACGGGCTCCTGGGAGACACCCGCACCCTCCCCTGCCGCCGGGCTGCCCTGCCAGGCCCCGCCCACCCAGTGTGCCAGGCCCCGCCCACCGAGTTTAGTATAAGGCAGCCCGTTCCTGGCCTCGTTGTCTGGCAGCCCTTCATGGGCACCTGCTGTTGGACCCTCGGCTCCCCTCGACCCTGTCCTTGGTCCAAAGGAGCAGCGGGTCAGATGAGCCCCAAGACAGGGACTGGGCTGCGCAGGGGGACGTGGGAGAGGGTGTGGATGGGCCCGAAGGGTCCTGTGGGCTTGTGTCCTGGGGTTGGGGAGGGGGCTGGAGTTTCCAGGCAGGGTGCTCTGAGCTGGCTGGGCTCCCAGGGGCGGGAGTGCAGTGGAAGCAGGCAGGGAGCCAGGGCCTGGGAGACGTGGGGCAGAGCGGACAGAATGGATTTGTGGAGAAAAACAACTCCTGTTTTCATCTGGAAAATTTCACAGTTGCACGTAGGAGGCCAACTCAGGACCGGCGCCTGGTGTGCGCCTGGCTCCGCCCTCCCCGCCCCGGGGTGGGGGCCGCCCGCACTGCCTGGCACTGCTCGATGCCCCTTCTTCCTGGGACTCTTTCACCTGCCGCCTGGGGCCTCCCGAGTGCCGGCTGTGCCTCGTGTGGTCCCGGTCATGCCCACGCTCCTGACTCTGGATCTGCCGTGTCTCGGAGTTCTGCACAAGCCTCTCCAACCATGACCATCTCCAACCAAGCCATCCGGGTGCCCAGGACACGCGGCAAACGTCAGGCTTCCCAGATAACATCCTCCTCCTGTGTCCCCCTCTTGGAGAGTGATGGCCCCATCCGTCGCACCAAGACACCGAACTCAGCCCCCCTCGGAGCCTCCTTCTCCCCACATCCCCCAACATGGCTCTTCCAGACAGTCTTCAGGACCCCACGTTGGCAAGAATCAACCCGATCCTTCTCCAGGTCCCGAGCGGACAACCTGGTGACCCAAGGGCCACCCAGAGCCTGCGGGGAGGCTGCAGACGCTTCCCATCTCTGCAGAGGGACTGCTCTGGTGGCCAGGGCTTTCTGCACAGGACAGGGAAGGACGGCCTGGGTTCCCATCAATGGGTGTCACATGCTCTGCCGGCAGCTTTCCCGGACACGATCACAGCCACCCCTCACCACCGCTAAGGAAGCAGAGGCTCAGAGAGGTTAAGTAACCTCCCAAGACCACAGAGCCGCTAAGAGCCAGGAATAGTGTCTGTCTGACCAAGAGCCCTGGGTTCCCTGAAATCTGTTTCCCCGTCTGTAGAAAGAAGGGTTGACCATGAGGGTGGTGTTGCCTCTGAGTCTCCTGTCCTATCAGCTCACGGTCTCATCCGGATCCCAGGGCAGGGCAGACACAGCCGCACTTGACAAAGCCGGCTGGATTGAAAGGGAGACGAGCCCAGTAAGCTGAGGTCACTGTGGCTGTGGCCGTCTCTGGTGCATACAGGTGTCTCGCCCACCCTGCCTTGGCCTCAAGGCTCCGGCGGCTACGCGGGCGGAGAGAGACACGCACAGGACAGGCCTGAGCCTCACACCGCCCTCACCCCGGCAGAGGCCACGCCAGCCCCCGGAAGGGCATAGAACCTGAAGCCACAAAGCTGGACTCGCGCCAGCCCTGCCACGTGGGGGGTCATGTGACGTCCCCCCCTCTCGGCGTTTCTGCTCAGTCTCGACACCGTATTTGTCTTGGACAAGTATTTCACAAGCACCACCCCCCACTGGATGTGGTGCCATCCCTGGGCATTTAGCAGACCACAGAAAACAGCCCTGGCCGAGGCGGGGACGGTAAAGGATGCTTGGTGACCCGCTGGCCTTGACAACTGTCAGTGCAGGGCTTGTGGGAGCACACGGGGGAATCCTAACCCAGCTGAGAATCAGGGCGGGCTTCCCAGAGGAGGTGACCGCCGCACCTCCCAAGGCCCCCTGGGATGCAGCCTCACGTGGGCGGTGTGTGACGCCCCCGGGCTTCCCGTGAGTGCTCAACGCACATGAGTGTGTGAACCCTGCCTGGTCTGGGCAGGGAGAGCACGGGGAAACCAGGCTGTAGGTAACAGGGAGGAGTGACACCAGGGGTCAGCCAAGAGGCAGCACACTCGGGTCCCGGGCGGAAGCCGGAAATGGTGGGACCAGTGACATGACAGAAAAGCGAGACCTGGGCCATCTGAGGGGCGCTGGTGGCACCGGGAAGTGTCCCGGACACCTCTGGAGCGTGGCGGGGACACCAGCTCCTGCCGTGTAACCAGCACATCCCACGTGGACAGACCGCCAGGCCCGATTCTCAGCTCGGCGCCAGGCCTCAGAAAGGATGCCTCTTGGCTTCTCCCACCTCTTTGTTTTTATTATTTTAATTGCAACTTGTCATTAATATATTATTAATTACAATTTATATTAACTTATTACTTTAAATGGTTTATTTTCTGTTGTGGGGGGCGGAGAGAGGGAGACAGAGGATGTGAAGCCAACTCTGCACCGACAGCACAGAGCCCGACACGGGGCTTGAACCCTCAAACTGAGAGATCAGGACCTGAGCTGAAGCCTGGCACTTAACCAACTGAGCCACCCAGGTGCCCCTGTTTTTTCTTTAATTAAATTTTTTTTTTTTTT